AAATTTTATTACAATATATAAAATTATCAAAACAGTTAGTAGTATTTACTTTTCTAAACAGGATTATTAATAATATAGATCAGAATAATATTGCAATATAAACATAATTTATATACATATTATAAACTACCAAAAACCTATAAAATATAGTTTTCAAACTAACCAGTAACTTGTACTAACTCTCTACATTTAAGTTAAAACTTTTTTTATATAGTTTTATTAAATATTTTAAGTAAATAGAAATATAGTAGAAATAGTTTTATTTAATATAGTTTATAATTTTTAAAAACTTAATACAGACTTATAATTGTGATCATTTAATAGTAATATAATAAAAGTTATATATATATTTTTATTTTTATTTTTATTTTTGTTATTTTTTTTTTATTTTATTTTATTTTTTAAATTGTATTTTTTATTGTTTATCTTTATATTTTTGTATTTTTTTTATATTATTTTAGTTTTTTTTGTTTTTGTTTACTTTTTTATAAAAAAATATTATCAAATTAACAATATCTTATTGTAAAATAATAGTTAAATATAACCTCTAACATACTCTAATTTTTTATAAAGTTAAACAATTAATATAAACAGATTGCTTATAAAGCTCTTAAAAGTATTTACAGAATGCTAGACTAAAATTTATACAAATTTGTATTGTATAATAAAAAGACTTATAATAAAGGTAACTAACAAGACTGCTCAAGTAAAAATAAAAAATAAAAAAATAAATATTTATTGGTAATGTTAAATTACTTATAAATATACTGTATCAATTAATAAAATATTTTTATATTATTTAAATTAAATTAAGAACTACAATCAAACCTTTTATAATTACATTCTTGATTTTAAAAATTTAATAGTTATAGAGAGCTTGTGCCTATATGAAAGTTAAATTTTATAAGTATTATATAAGTTAGTTTTAAAATTTTATATAATTATAATTAAATGTAATTATAGAAAAAATGATTATAAAGAGGTTTAACAATATAACAATAAAAAATAAGCATTTAAAAAATCTTTATACTTACAATATTAATTTAAATAAAATAAATATAATACGTATAACAGTAATAAATACATCAATTAATAAATTTTATATTTATATAAAATAATATAAATAAAATAAATATAGTAAATAAATACTATATAACTTTTTTAAATACATCAATTATAAAACATCTAATACTCATATAACTAAATTAAATATAAAAGTCATTAATTATAGTGAACTTCTAATATAATAGTACTAAACAGTGTTCAAATATATATATAATTACTATTTATCATCATGTCGATTTTTTTATCATAATGTCCTCTTTCTGCACACTTTTAGCGTTACACGAATATTTATTTATCGGGAATTTTCGTAAACTGCTGATCATCTGTAGCAATTTTCCGATATCTAAATTAAACACAAATCACGGGTTTTTTAAATTTAAAATTAATAAAATAAAAACATTATTAAAGCTCTTAGAAATACAATAAATTAAATTAAAAATACAATAAAAAACTCCAATCTTTAAGTAATTAAAGTAAGATAACAATTTACATAACAAATTTGTAGTATTAAAAAATGGTCTTTAAAAAATTCGGATTTGTTCTCTACAGGTATTAGTAATCAATTAATTATAGAGTAAGGGTACTTTTATCACAAAGACAAAATAACAGGAGAAACGTCGATGTTACATGACTGATCCTTCACCAGGTGCATAACATATAAAAAAATTATTTTACAATACCAGATCATTCCACTAGTACATGTTATGATTACAGGTCACTCGTTAATATCAACCTATTTGAATTGGTTTTAAATCATGTTGATAGTGATATTAATGAGAAATCATATTAAAGTCAACATATATGAGAGAATTTTGATATATAAAAATTTATAAAAATTTGTCATGTGTCTTAGGTTGATATTAACGAGGGTGGCCTGTATAATAAAATGGTGTGGGATTATCATCATAACATGTACGAGTGGAATGATCTGGCATTGTAAAATAATTTTTTTATTGTTGCAAGGATCAATCGTGTAACATCGACAGTTCCTCCTGTTAGAAAACTTTAAAGTAAAAATGACTGACCATTTAACAACAGAAACATGATTTTTGGCCAGTTTTACATAGTGTTTTAAGAATTTGTACCAACACTAATAATGCACCAAAGCCAATACAACTCCAACCACCATAGTATAATGCCTCGTATATGATTTTCTGGCATATAGCTTTACATTGAGAACTACCATCGCCGACAGCTTTATTAACTGTAGTAGTGGCATTGCCTGGAATCGCAGATGTTGAATTTGTTGAATTAGTGACTTGACTTGGGTCACAAGATGAACCACAAAAAGAAGGGAGCGTTCTGGCATAAATAAACATTGCTACACCGGCAATAATAAAAATTACACCAATAAGAACCATAAGTACGGTACATGTGCATTGTATGCATCCGCAAATTGAACAACTACAACATCTATCATTCTTTTGCAAAATTCGATCTTTCTTATTTCCGCCCATGTAAGTTGGAACCTCAATTGCAGGTTGTGAAGATGGTGAATAATCATTTTGAGAACCAGAATTAGCATTTTGAGATGGGGAATAGTTTTTTGGGGCACGCGGAGCATTTAAAGTAGATGATGTATTTGTGGGTGGAGAATAATTCTTTGGAGGGCGAGGGCTATCATTGTCTTGAGATGGGGAATAACTTTTTGGAGGGCGAGGGCTATTATTGTCTTGAGATGGGGAATAATTTTTTGGAGGACGTGGATCATTAGATGTATATGCTTTATTTAGAGTTGGTGAATAATTTTTTGGAGGACGTGGATCGCTTGTTGTATTTTCAATGTTTTGAGTATAACTTTTTGGAAGACGTGGATCGCTTGATGTATTTTCAATGTTTTGAGTATAACTTTTAGGAGGACGAGGATCGTTTGATGTATATGCTGCATTTAAAGGTGGTGAATAATTGTTCGGAGGATATGGATCATTTGAAGTGTATGTTGTATTTTGTGACTGAGAATAATTAGAATAATTGTTTTTTGGAGGTTGAGGACCGTTTGATGTGTATGCCGTATTTTCAGTGTTAAATGGAGAACGTGAATAAGGTTGTGTTTGATTTAAATTATATGTTGATGATGAAAGATAATCTGGTTTTGAAATTTGATTATGGTAATTATAAGAGGGCTCTGATGGTGGTTCGTGACCATAAGACATTGGAGTTGGCATCTGAGGATTATATAAAGGTGACTGCATCTGCGAATTATAGTTTTGATTTTGATAATTCGAGTAATCTGGAATATATTGCTGTTGTATGTTATATTGTTTATATTGTGGCTGCATTTCTTGCTGGCCAAACTTTGTAACTAAAGGTTCCGCAACGGCATGCTGTATTTCTTCTTGAGGCTGTTTGTTAGGTGACGGTGGGTACACTTCTAAAGGTGGAGAGGAATATTTAGGTGAAGTTCTGTTATAATCTTGTAGAGGTTCTGGTTGCTGTGAATACCCTAAATTCCTCCCATTATTTAATGGTCTATTGTCGATTGGTGGATACCTATTGTTTTCATAAATGTCTTGCACTCGCTGGAGTTGCTGCTCCTGAAAGTTATTACCGTTATTTCCAAAGTTAGTATATCCATTATTATTATATTCAACAGCATTATAGTCGTTATTTTTATTGTTAAAAGTGTAAGGGTATGCCATTTTTTTTCTTACACCCCCAAGAATATTATCGTTGAAATATGAAGTTATTATTTAGCAGATTGTAGAAAGTTATACTAATAATGGAAATCAAATAAATTTAGCATTAATGCATGTGCTACATTCAATTTAAATGAATTGAGATCGACGTATCATTGATTCGATACAGTATTACTTGTATTTAATTCAATTCTATAATAAGTTCAATCTATCTAAATTTATATGATTGTATCACATGCATTAAACGCTAATTTCCATTATTAATAACTTTCTACAATTGGTTACTTTAATTTTTGACGTTAAGCTTTTCATCTTATGTTTTAACCATGAACCAAACTGGCGCAGAACTTTATTCCAAGGGCGAGCAATACTGGTATGGTAATGGAGTTGAAAAGGACTTGCGTAAAGCTTTCGAATACTATCAAAAATCTGCAGAGATGGGAAATGCTACGAGAACACGTAATGTTGGATATTGTTATGAAAAGGGAATCGAAGTTGAAAAGGATGAACATAAGGCATTTATTTATTATCAAAAATCTGCAGAGATGGTGACGCTTATGCAACAGATAATGTTGGATATTGTTATCGATATGGAATCGGAGTTAAAATAAATTTGAAAAAAGCTTTCGAATTGTATCTGAAATCGGCTAAAATGGGTTACGCCGAAGGAATGAGTCTTGTTGGTTATTGTTATCGAAACGGAATCGGAATCGGAACAAAAAAAGACCTAAAGGAAGCTGAATATTGGTTTAAAATGTAAGCATATTTCTTAATTCTTATAAAAAAAATATTAATATTAATAATTTAAAAATAGCGAAAGAAGCAAGTTTCAAGGTAATAATCTTGTATGTTATTCTTTTCATTTCTGTTTATATTTAATATTTTTAACTTAATTTTAAACAGAAATAGGGAAATTCTCTTATTCTGATACAGATGATAATGTTAAAAAAATATTTGATGAGAAGTATCAATTATTATGGATCCCATATGATAAATTAAAAAATATTAAAGATATTGGGAAAGGTGGATTTGCAACCGTTTATCGTGGTAATTGCAAAATTGATTATAAGGAATCCCACCGTAATTATGTGTTCGCATTCAAAAAGATTCATGATCAAAGTTTTTTTAATGAGGTAAATTTATCAAGTTTTGTTTAATGCTTAAATTATACAACAAATATATTCTTTTTTTAAAGTTGAAAACATTTTGCGAGATCGGATACAAAAATCCATCGTTCTTAAGATGTTACGGGCTATCGAAAGATGATTCAGGAAATTCCATTCTTATTTTGAAATATGCAAACAAGGGTTCTTTACGTAATAACCTTCGTGAAGTATCAAGAATGAAATGAGGAAAGAAATTAAATTTATTAAGTTGCATAATATCATATCTTGAAGCTATTCATTCACAAGGATATATTCATAAAGATTTGCATAGCGGTAACATCTTACAAGACGATTTAGATAATGCATATATCACGGATTTAGGTCTTACATCGTCTGCAAAAAATGACAATGAAATTATTGGAATTTTACCTTATATTGCACCAGAAGTTTTATCAAATCAACCTTCTACACAAGCAAGAGATATCTATTCATTTGGTATAATTATGTGGGAAATCTTAACGGGTGAAGAAATTTTCAATGGTTATGAATTTAATGAAGATTTAGCAATAAATATTTGTCTTGGATTGCGACCGGAATTCGCACCCGGGACTCCAGAATGTTACGTTGAATTGGCTAAGAAATGTATGAACTCAGATCCAAAAGAAAGACCTACTGCTACATATATTAATGCGTTAATTACTACTTGGATCGACGAACTTGCGCATGAAAGCAACAGAATAATAATTAAAAAGCAATTCTTAAAAGCTGATGAGCAATCCTTAGAAGCTGATAAGGAACTGCCAAGTATCGTGCAAAAACATCAAAATCATAATAAGTACATTTCAAAGCCCATTAACATGCAAAAGATCATGAAAGCATTATCAAAAATGGTAATTGGTAGCATTCCGATAGACAGAGTGGAAATTCCGAAGTAATGAAGACATTACAATAAAATTAATAAAAAAATCGAATCTTGATATTACACAAAATTAAGCAGAAAATTATATGATAGTTATATTGTCAATTCGAGGAATGGATTTTATCGAATTAATTAGCAGGAAAAACTTCGTATTGAATACAAACATATATAAATATGTATTTATAAATATTTCGATATCACTATCGTTATCTTAACATTTTGTGCGATTTCATGTTTATTTTTTGATAAATAACTAAATTTATCGTGCAAGCTCATATTGTACATTATTACGTAAGCAAACAATACCAAATTAAACCTCACGATAACATTTGATCATGCGATGATGCGAAAATACCGTTCTGATGGATCGTCGGGACTGTTCCTGATAGGGTAATAAAAAGAGAGCCTCTAAAATGCTATACTAATATTGCAAAAAAGGTAGGATTAGGGTTCGTCTATCAGGAACATTACTCAAATAAAATTTTAACTCAATCAAGATCGGTACCGACAATCCATCAGGAACGTTATTTTTGCTGCAATGATAAATATCATAAAATTTGGTCTGCTGGGGCAAACTATTGGCTGAAACGTGCCGCTACGCGACACATGTCAGCCAATCATTAATCGTTGCATTACCAATATCTTATACAAAGTGACCATACAACAATAAAATTAAATTATTTTAACAAAGATATTGTTGGAAATTTATGTTGTTTTACACTTAAGATAACGTTTTAAAGACACATCGCAACTTAAAAAGTTTTTACATTTATAATTAATATGTAATAGAACAACAGCTACTACCACAACGCTATCACAATGCAATTTCATTTAATTTCTACTTGCAAATAGCATTGTATAATAGATGCTTTTCGAATGCTTGTGAATGCTTCTTGAAGGGATACTATTATCATTATCGTTATGTCAATCAATTACACATTTATTACAGTACTGAATTTAGAACCAATTTAAGTCGCCGTTAGATTTCGTATCAACTCGAGTTATTTAGAATTCGCTTAGGTTGGTAGGCCAAGTTGATGCAACTTAAGCTGATTCTAAATTTAACACTGTAATAATCGATAAATTTTATGCAACGAATCAGCTAATAGTTGTCGCAAAACCTTTATACTGTAATACAAGATGACTTTGATTTTTGCATTTCTTGAAATTTTAGAGAATAGCACATATAAACTTGGCAAATCCTCCATTATTATAATTACGTATAATGTGCTAATAATTTCTCCTGTTGGGTCCGCGCTCATAATTGTTCTAGAAGTATAAGATGGGTTAGTCTGTAATGTTATAGAGCTTTGGGAGTTTTTGATCAAATCTTAATAATTTATTGCATTATATTCCTTGACAAATGTTCTATTTGTAGTATAATTTTTGTTGCATAATATCATAATACGATTTGCTGTAATTTTCAATCAAAGCCTTTTACTTATAGACGGTTTTCTGTTTTAAATTTATAACCTTGCATACTGATACAAGATGATGATCATTTATATAGTATATATTGGTTATTAATTGACCCAAGTCAAATCTTATATTAAATAAATTATTAAACCTAATATAACTTAAGTTTACTAAAAAATAATTGTCCGAAGGACTTAACTGTTGAGTAAATGGGTTACACAAATGTCCGTCTGTTAGCAAATTCTCCAATATAATTGGTTGTTCTAATGTAGATCAAACGTACACATATGACATATGTGACATATGTGACATGTAAAAAATTAGATTGTTAATCCAGTCATCAATAAATAGTGGCTTACGTATTTATGCATTAATAATCAATAATATTAATACAGGATATAGTCCTTCGGACTGCTAATGGTTTCCATTATCCTAGTTTATTTTACATTTATAAATAATTAAATTTTTATATCATTTTTATGTTTTTTAAATTAACAAAAAAAATATTAATTAATCTTTAAAAACAAATTTACAAAAATTTTATTGTATACTGCTTCTAGAAACTGTACTATAAATATATATACAGATTCATAATCTGTAATTTCTAAATACAATAGTCTTTTAAACTCAACAACAATTATATCATATACTCATACTTCATATTTCTCACTATGGAACATACTTATCAATTTTATCAAATTATATAATATTCATATTATCTTCTACAAAGTTATTACTTATCAAGATAACAAATATAATAATCTTGTTAACCAACTAGCACATAACTATTACAACCTGTTATACCTTATTTTTACATCTTATAACAATTACAACTTAGTTTATAGTTTAATCTTCAAGAATTTTTCTTTAAAGTTATCTACTTATTGTAGTATTTATATAATATGTTATATATATATATATATTCTGAATAACACAAAACTGTTTTCAAAAATGACATAAAATCCTTAACCAAGTTAACTGACAAGTCACTTGACTCTATATTAACAATAATCAAAAAATCTCAAACTTTTCTTACAGCTTTCAATCTTTTATTCTTAAATCTTTTAGAATTAAAATCCTATCAAATGAACTTTCTATTTTATATATTCTACATAAATGTTATTTTTCATATTTATCTATTTGGTATCAATACTATCAAATTAGTTCATTTTTTTACTGAACAATTTGTTTATTTAACTAACTATTATTTAGTCTTATTGATATCTTATTACAATATACTCTCAACTCAAATATACTTAATACTATACCTAATACTATAACCAACTTATATCACCAAATTAAACTATTTCATAACATGTCTATTTATAATAGATCTGATATATCATCAATTTTTCTTAACTCTAACAGACTTAATACCAAATAAACTCATTAATATTATTACAAATTTGTCTTTCAAAAAAGTTACTACTACACTTTCTATAAAGTTTTTATTTTATCTTAATCAACAAATCTATTATAAAATTTGGATTCTCTATTGTATTTCAAGATTTACAATCCAATTTTCTAATTATAATCTATTATTAAATTCTGTTTCTTCTGTA